ATAACTTACAAACATTAATGTGAATCATCAACACAAAGATTGGAAGTGAGCATTAATGTCTGTGAATGTAATATGAACATATAGCTTACATACCGGTAAGTTCATTTATTCTTAAGTGTTAATTCTTAGAAGTTTGACTTTTGGTGAAATTACTGTAGCATCAAATGTTTATTTCAATGTAGCCTACAACAAAGTAGCTTGACTATGATACTGCAGTGGAACCATCAGATGAAATGAACTTTATACAGACATTTATTGTCCCCAGAAGATGACACCCACTGACTTTGGTGCATTTGTTTTTCCAGTGCTTTGGTTTATTAGCAAATACCGTATCTGCAAAACTAATGACATTCTCATTTGCTTCAGCCATACCTTGCATTTAGTACAGCCCCAGAGAGCTAAAGACATTTTGGTGTTGTCTGACAACACCTGCTTTAATAAAAGACATTCAATGTAAACAAATTTCTGCCAGTAACTACTGTTGTCACTGAACAAATCAGTTGCTTTTGGCAGCAGAGCGCAGTGGTGAGTGATAGCACTGTCTTCATAATCCGGTAACTCTATCATATATAATAGGCTGCTGAGTGATTAGCCTTATGTGCAGTGCTTGTATAGGCATCAGTCCAGCTCTGATTCAGAGCTGGACAACAAGCCAGTATGAACAGTATATGTTCACTTACTAACGTATGTACTTAAGTGCATTTGAATGGTCATGTGACCACTTGGCTTAGATAAAAGTGAACAAAGAGCACAGTCACTGACAATAAATCTTTGAACTGAACTGAATCTAGAGATTTGTGATTTCCATCTCCTGTTTTACTACACAGATTCCTCCACCATCACATAATGCAAAGACTCTAACATGACTTTAATCAGGAATGAATTGTGTACTAAATGAGTTGGCATATTGACTTTGTCCTCACAAACCCAGAGGTAATTGAGCCTGAAGCAGATAATCATGGTTTTAATACTGATTAATTTGTTGATAGATTGAAATGGTTGAGAAGTAGCAATAAAAAAAGAACAAGAGGAGAAGGGCTGCTGACTTGAGAGCACATGGAAAAGGCCAAGCAGGAGGATGAGATGGAGGAGAGTTCTAGTAAATTTGAATCATTTTCCCGAGTTTCACTAGTCAGGACAGCTCTTATGGATGATGCTGATGGAAGGGGGATGTGCTTATGCATGGACATTTGTGCTGACACTGCTTAGAGACTGTTAGAGTGTTTCTGGGGAAGGCTTCCGGAGAATCCACGTGGCTCTGGGCATTGCAGATCCCCCATGGGAAGCAGGAAAACTAGTAGGAAGGAAGAGGAGAATTACAGGAGGGCAGAAAGGAAAGGAAGAGGACAGAGAAAGATAAAACAGATATTGGCTAGCTACTTCTGCTTCAGGATTACAGGATGTTTATGCAGTTATAATAGCTGGCACTCATCCCGCTTGTACACACACAGAGAGAGAATGAGAGAAAGCGAGAGAGAGAGTGGAAATGTGAATGCATTACACGCTGCCCTCTCCTCAGCAGGATCAGAATCGGACTCCTTCGTGTCTCATGTTGGTGTAACATGGCATTACTACTAAACTAGTTTATATGGTCTTCCACTAATAGAAATACATTAATTGAGCAAAGAGAAGGTCATTCATAACCATGTCTGAGACCCATTTACACTAGCGCTGACATAATTTATTGCCACTGTTAGAAATAAGAATAATGAGCCACAATAAATTCTGTTCATGATTCATTACAGACTTATGTCTTAAGTAACTAACAAGACTGCTCAGGAAAAGCATGAAAACTTACTTATCTACCTTTTCTTTTTTTTTTTTTATTTAGAATTTAAAACACACATAAACAACAACTACACAAAAGTACCCACCACAATGCACCCACAATATATACAATAAAAAACAAAAAAGGCTGCCAGAGTAGTAAATAATTGTCCATATGTGACCAGATATACAGTATTTCTAGTGACTTGTCTAACTTTTATTTATATTGCATTTTACAGGAAAATAAAAACATAAAGCCAAGCCAGTGAAGTGAAAACATCAAGCTAAGAGGTTAGTTTTCTGAAACAAAAACTTAATATTCAGCTTTTCATTAAGACAAAAAATGAAAAAAAAAAAACCTGAATTATCTATTTTTGCACATACCATAAAAGGTCATTTAAAGATTAAAAAACATGAGATAAAATCTCATTAAAACAAAAAGATTATTCAGAAGTGGCATTTCTCATGAGTTTCTGAAAATACAGATAACGTTATCCTTTCATAATATGAGTTGTGAATTTCTGACTATCCTCTCACAGATTTTCATGATGCATATTAAACAGCACAACGGTGATGATCTCTGCTGCTCACCCACTTACTCCCTCTTGTGTTCTGCTGCTATTCCTGTAGAACAGCTCTGAGTCAAAAAGTCCTGCAGGAATCAAACAGGAAAACATTGCTTCTACATGGACACAACAGTTGTGATAAAACAACTAACAGCAACAGGGAGACATGGCAAAGCCCTGAAGTAATGCACACTACAATACTGGCATTTATATTCCAGCAGCACTTGACGAGCTTCAGGTCCATTATCCTGCTGCAGAGGATGTTCATCCACTCTGCGCCCACATGCAGCTCTTCGGCCTCCTCCAGAGATCATGAACCAGTTCAGAAAATAACATTCCATCACAGACAAAACTCTCAGTAGCTCAAACTCCATTAAACACAAATGAAATATCTAACAAAATCAATACTCATTACAAAATATACATAATATGAGCAAGTGTTTAAGTCTTGTGTCTGTCCAATTTTGGAATACCCTGCAGGGACCTAGGGCTGTTTATTATCCAAAAGTGATAAAGTGCAAAAGAGTGCAGTACATTATTTTCTTGGATGTCAGAATCAGAATCTGCTTTATTGGCCAGGTGTGTCGGACACACAAGAAATTTTACTCTGGTACATCGGCTCTCAATCGGCACGTACATATCCCCATGCAAGGGGCAAGTAAACAGTAAACCAACATAAGGCTGTGTAATATAACAAAGTAAGCAGTATTAACAAGCAACAAACAGTGCAAACAATGCAAAATAAACAGTATAAGCAGGCAGTAAACAATGGAGACAAGGAATGCTGATTGTGAACAAAATAAAATGGCCCCAGAATTATCAGTAGCTTATGTGGTGACATGGGATGGGAGCCATGTGAAGTTAGTTAAAAGTGGAATAGGATAATTAACATTACCTGACAATAAGCTTACTAAATAATTGCTAAAATACAATAAATGTATTTATTTATTTACTAGCAAAAACATAAAACAATAGCAGTATCATTTAATTAATGTAATATACACCTATCCATGGAGTTAAAATAAATAAATGTAATTTTCTTTATAGTCAAACATTTTATATATGCCTATCGACATTCAGAATGAACGATTTATTTATTTATTATGTACATGAATACATCACACAACAAGAACTGAAACATGACCTTTCAATGAAAACTTAAATTGTACAGTCATGAACTGGAAGGAATAAACCATTATATTTTTAGGATTATGGTTTGATGAGAAATTAATCTGGAATGTACATATTTTAAAAAAATCATGTATAAATGTAAGAAAGTTTTAAATATTACGAGGTGCTTAGTGGGAAGTGACTGGGGAGCGGAAAGAAATGCATTAAAGACCATTTACACTGGATTGACTAGATCAGTACTGGATTATGGGAGTGTGGTATATATAGTGAATACATCTCTTAAAAAACTAGATCTTATTCAATATCAGGGTTTAAGACTATGGTCAGGGGCACTTAGAACAACTCCAACATCAGCTCGCCAGGTTGAAATGGGTGAAATACTGCTAGAGAAGTGGAGACTTCAACTACGGCTTAATAATTGTATTAATTTACAGGGGCAAAAACAGGAACATCCAACTCTAGTCATAGTAAAACCCTGTTGGGAAAAAGAGAAATAAGATATAAAACATTTTGGATGAACAGCCATACAGAAAGCAGCAGAAATAGGAGTAGGTGAAAGAATTATTAGCCCAATTGTACCATTATCAGCAATACAACCATGCATAGTACTCGAGCTGTATTCAGATATATACAGAAGCATCAAAAAATTCGGATTGTAAAGTAATAATCGTATTTCACTATATCAGAAATCCAAATCAGAGTGTGAATAAGAATTAGCAATGGGTTGGCAGTTTATGGGGAGATGCTGGCAATTTTGTCAGCATTGCAGTGGGTTGAAGAGGTGAGACCTCTGAGAGCAGTGATCTGTTCTGATTCAAGTGCAGTATTAACCAGCTTAAATATAACCATTCAGAGAGCCAACCTGATGTTTTTTGTAGAGGTTGCTTGCACTTTAAATAGAATTCAAATGATGGTCTAATTGTAACATTTGTGTGGATTCCAGATTGAAAAAAACAATAGATAGGTGTAGGAAACAATAGGAAAAGAGAGAACAGGAAGGTGGATATATAAGATCCAAAAGAAAGTAAGTGCTGGGAGAAGCACAGGCAGATGAGAAAAGAGACAATAATATCCAGGTTACAGTTCTGGCATACAGTACTAAATAATGCATTATTTAAAATGGGTAAACATGTTACTGGAAGATGTGATTTCTGCGGGCAGGAAGAAACAATCAAGCATGTTATGCTATACTGCACAAAATGCGAGATTAAGAGGAGATATAAAGTTGGCGTTTGATTTGTGTGATATGTTACAAAGAAGGTCTGGAGACATATGTTTTTTGCTTTTGTTTCAGTATTTAAGAAAGTGACATAGATAGATAGAATCTGAGTTATTCTTTTAAGTATTAATAAAAATGCTTGATTGTCTTAACTGTTTAATTATTAGATTTAGGAAAGAGAATTGAGATTCCTATTCACACTCCTATCCAATTGGTGGCGGCAATGCATCATTTCGTTGTTTGCCAACCGCCATTAACTAAAAGGAGGATGAAGAAGAAGACATCTCGCGGGACTTGGCTATGATATAAATTTCTGCTCGGCCTATAATCAGTCCCTTTTGGTTCCGCTTAACGGTGAAGGTGCAACAGTAATCGGTCGTCCCGAAGCTGGGTTCATCCGACACCCTCACCACTCAAATTGAAGTCAGCTCAACCTTCACAGCAGCAACATGCCTCCTAAATTCGATCCCAACGAGATTAAAGTTGGTATGTTTTTCAGTCAAGTGGGTAATAAAACTGGAGCTTGTTCACAGCCAAGATGGAGTCGTGAAGTGCTGGCTGCTCCCGTTTCTGTCTTTCTCACAATGGGATAGAAAAAACGGTAAAGATCGGGCACGATACGTGATGAGTAAGGCAAAGGAAGTTTATTTTGTCTGCAGGCTTGAATATGCTTACCGGATGATATTAGTAGATTTGTGACCGGTTAAGTAAAACTAGCCAGTTTCAGGCAATTCCCCTGGATCCCACGTGGGGGAAGCCTGCTAGCTGCTAATAGTAATGCTAACATTAGCTTTACAAACGTTGGTAAAATACGGGGTTTGGCCTTTTGACTCGCCACTAAAGGTGTACTGTTAAACAGTCTGGTTATTGCTGGACTTAATTGTTACAGTTGTACTGATGGGATACTTAGTTTTCAGCTTGTTAGGTATTAAGTCAATTCTAAATTCATGTAGCACTCGCATTACCCTTGTCAAGTTTGCCTCTATTGAAATTTAATTGCCTTTTGTACAAGACATGTTTTGTCCATAGGGTCAATTACTGCAGTGTAGGGTTGCAGCAAATGAAATGCCCTTTATCAATCTGAATATTGATATACACTGATCAGCCATAACATGACATATCACTGACAGATGAAGTGAATAACACCTCGTTACAATGGCACCAGTCAGTGTGTGGGGTATATTGGACAGCAAGTTAATATTCAGTCAAAGTTGATGGAAACAGGAAAAGCAGGTCAGTGTAAGGATCTGAGTGACTGACATGGGCCAATCTGTAATGGGTAGATGACTGGGTCAGAGCATCTCTCACACTACAGGTCTTGTTGGGTGTTCCTGGTCTTCAGTGGTTAGTACCTACAAACAGTGTCTAAGGAAGGACAAATGGTGAAACAGCAAAAGGGTCAGGACGCCCAAGGCTCACTGATGATGAGGTTGACCTACTGTAGGTTAATCTTTTAAATTTCACCTTTTTCCTAAAGGTTCCATTTTGTTTTGAATTTTTGTTAAATTGGTTGAAAATGTACGTTGGTCCTTATGAAGAGTAACATTCAGCGGCTTTAGTGGTGATGTCTAGTGTGGGAGGCTATTGAACTGGTCAGAATTTTCTCTTGTCCTCAATTTTCACTCCTTTAACATGTATTACTACATGACAGATGAATTTGTGGTCTTCCTGAAAGTATTAACCAGAACAAAAGCGATTCACAGAAGATGCAGAGAGCTGCAGAGTGGCAAGTGCCAACCAACCGTTCCATTGATTATTAGGCAGGTGGTCATACTGTTATGGCTGATCGGCATAAATTGTGAGGCAACTAAAAGCGCTTAAATTTTATTTTGATGTATATATTTGCCATATTATAGGGATAACCACAAACCTTAAAGTTTCTAAAACATGTTTTATCACCTAGTACTGTCAGGTTTAATTTGGTAGGCTAGTGGTTAAGGCGCAGCACTCTCCCCGCTCTGGCCCGGGTTTGAATCAGGGTTGTGTCACGAAGGGCATCCGGCATAAAATGTGCCAAATGTCAACATGGGGGGAGTCAGTGTGACGATTCGCTGTCGCGACCCCTCAAAACGGGAAAAGCCGAAAGCAACTTTCTTTTACTGTCAGGTTTAATTCGAACAGGAGAGGAATATGCTAGAAAATGATATTTAGAACAGCCTTTTTGTGAAATTCCTTGTTTGTGGTTGTTTCACTGTCAAAATTTTGGACATACTGTGCCAGACTCCACTGGAATTTCAAATGTATTGTTCACTGTATAGGTTGAGTTATGATTTAATGATCCGCCATTTATAGTCTTGGCAGTGGTTCTGGGTCTTTTTCTTTTTTTCTTAGAAGTTGTATTGCATTTGCATAAAGTGTTAATATTTCCGTTTTGTCAGTGGGTGTTTGTCAATGTGCAAGAGTAAGGAAATGTCATCAGATGAAGCCTTTAAGTGAATTACTCTGTCTTGCAGTCTATATGAGATGCACAGGAGGAGAAGTTGGTGCCACCTCAGCCCTGGCCCCCAAAATTGGACCTCTTGGTCTGGTGAGTATTAAAATGTATTCATCTGTTTCAGCACAGATTGTATCAGCCTCCCGCCACTATGCCTGTCTGTCAGTGACTTAGTATAATCCAGTGGAGGCTCAGATTGACCCAACTTTAGGAAACAGGGCTGCCCAAACTAATGGACAGCTCTGTGCCGAAAAGTCTGGAACACATCGTGGCTGGATGCTGCTCTAAAACTTAATAATGAATGATTGTATTTAGAGTATGAGCTACTGAAAACTGTAAACTAACATCTTAGTTTTGTGAATCTCAGCACTGGTCTGAGTGAAGTCATTTAGGCTTTGGTTTTGTTTGTATTTGCTGCTTTAAGTGTTTTTGTGTTTTTGCACCAGTCTCCCAAGAAAGTTGGTGATGACATCGCCAAGGCCACCGGTGATTGGAAGGGCCTGCGGATCACTGTGAAGCTGACCATCCAGAACAGACAGGCAGCAGTACGTACTGATATCTGCAGTATGAGCCCCTCAGTCACACTTCACGGACATGAACTCCTTCCTGCCTGCTGTGCATACAGACACAAAGTGTTGCGGAGGCAGTGGGATGACTGGCTGTACGTTTGCTTGTTTTAATCACTTTTTTTTTTTTCCTTTCTAGATTGAAGTGGTTCCCTCTGCATCTGCTCTCATCATCAAGGCTCTGAAGGAGCCTCCTCGTGACAGGAAGAAGGTCAAGAACAGTAAGTAACTGCTGTTAAGTAGGAAGTCAGTACTTCAAACCTTATTTTCAACCCAGGAATGATATGAACTGGCTACATTTCACTCCTATCTTCCAGTTAAGCACAGCGGAAGTGTGACTTTTGATGAGATTGTGAGCATTGCTCGCGTCATGAGGCCTCGGTCCATCGCCAGGGAGCTTTCTGGTAAGACATAAGAATTTTGCCCAGAGCATTTGAACAGCCCCAGACAATTTTTTATTTCTAACATTAGCTGTATTTATTAGCTTTTTCATGTCTGCCATGATAAGCAAGATGTTGCCTTGGGGTATTTATCTTTTATTTGGTGGCCATTCTTTGACCATCTATAGTATTGTTACTGTTCAGCCTTCCGCCACTATACCTGTCTGTCAGTGACTGAGTATAATCCAGTGGAGGCACAGACTGACCCAGCTTTAGGAAACAGGGCTGCCCAAACTAATGGACTGCTCTGTGCCGTAAAGTCTGGAACACATTATCGACCAAATTAATAAATGTGGATTTAATCCCACATCAGTTTAAGGTTGTTGTCACCTGGACTGTCCCCACATTAAAGTCATGGCAGTAACTTTTTAAGTTACTGTAGACCCTAACAAAAAGTGCTTGGGACATGGTAAATGTAAACGTCTCCCTCAGTCAACATTAAATGTTCTTGTAGTGACATCAAGACGGTGATTGGCGGGTACCAAAAGTTCTTTTTTTTTTTTTCTCATTTCTTTTTCCTCAGGTACAATCAAGGAGATCCTGGGCACCGCGCAGTCTGTTGGATGCACCATTGATGGTCGTCCTCCACATGATGTCATTGATGACATCAACAGTGGCAAAGTTGAATGCCCATCTGAGTAAATGAAAGATGCAAATAAAGTTTTTACTCACATCGAGGTTCTTGTGTTAACCTTTTTAAACTCTGAAATCACTGTCTGGTTCTAAAGGCAACTGTAACTGATCATCAGTATAAGGAATAGTTTCAAGTATTTAAGTAGTTTTGGATTTTGTCCAACTTGACATTATTACAGTTTGAGACAATTGCTAATTTTCACTTGGCTGTGGCACTAAATACAGTTCTTTTGCAGATTAACATTTTGTATGAAAATTATGGGATTAGTGGTTTTATCAGTAATAACCTAATAGTATATAGTCATTGGCTCCATTCTGCTCAGTTGTAACAGCGCTGCTTACACAAAGCATCAGTAATACACATCCAAAAACACTGAAAAGGTCATAAATGCTTTTGCTTTTGACACCTTCAGTATATAAAGTATTTAAAATTTTGTCTGCAGGGTTTTTACTTGTAACATTACATTGTACCATTGTTTAATATAAATGATGGCTTTCACCACTCCTGGTAGTCATTCCCTGATACAGTAATGTTCCATTTGGTAGAGTAAAACCAGTCAATACAAACTCAATGCAGCAAAAAGTGGAGGGAAATGCCTTAAAGGTTCTGGTTTATGGTTTTTAAGTCATATTCACCAATATTAAATTGGTCTTGGCCTGAACTTGTTGAATGTGCAGAAACCCTGATCTTTGCAGGAAACATTTAAAGATGCAATGAGTACTAAATGCACCATGATGGATAATTCAGTCCATCTATTAAAAACTGAATTCCTTTACAGCCCCTTGGCTGCTTAGTAGTCCATCTCAATGTGAACAAATTGTTCCATGCATGTTCAATATAACTAAATTGCTGCCAGTAAGCTGCACTTTCAAGTTGGGGTTTAAAAGCTTGTCACTGTAGAGTTCCTGATTAATCTTCAGCCCCATTGAAGGACTAACAGTCCAGATTGTCAAACCGTCAAGATAACATGGAGGACTCAGGTGGGCATGCAGACATTGAGCACAGCCGTCTTCATCTGCAACCACTAATAAGTCAGTGCAGTTTTGCTTTTCATACAAAATATTTATTGAAAGAAATCACATACCACTCTATGAAAGTATAAATGGTTCATAAACATAAAATGGGCTAAGAACGCTGATGCAGCTATCTGTACTGGGTATAATGTAATGGAGTCCAACAGTAGTTCACTGCCTCAAGTGTGTTGTGTACTTTTCTTGGTGTGAATCTGATATGACAAATAGTTTTCCTCATGGATTTCTCACTTACCTGTTACAAGCTTGTTCAATGCATTTGTTTAAGCTGTATGCATCACAGGAAAAGGCACCTTGTTATAACTGAAAACCCAACCACAGTGCTGGATTCAAAACTACAGTGTGGTTTTTGTACCAAAAGCTGACGCTGAATGTTGTCCGATTCTGGTTTCCTGATTTTTTTAATGAGATCTTTCCTGATTTAATCCAACATTTTGCCAACTTCAGACTGTGTTTCCTTTTGGCAAAGTTCTTGTTAATCTTTATCATTTGTGAACTTTTCTAACTTGGTTCATTTAACAAAGCGCTTTGCAGAAAAACACTTTGTTGTGTTTTATATTTCTCAGTTTTAAGCTAGCGCAGGTAATGTACAGCAATGCCTGTTCATAACTGGACACTGCCTATGCTCTCACTCCCTCCAGTGGCAAATTGACTGAAAAGCTTATTTACCCAAGTACTGGTTCAATATAATCATTTCACCACCAACTGCTGTATATTGTTCACTCTTAAGAAATCTTGTAACAGAAAAAAGTTTGTATCAAAATGTGATACAGGTATATGAAAATGTATTTAACAAAAAAGACAAAGATAGGGATGTATATGACATAGGTTGTGGTTTCATTGTGCTTTGTGTTGGATGTTCGTTGTCAGGTGTTTGGTTGGAAGACAACATGTAACCTCCTCTGAGGTCATCACAACTTTGTAGAAGTGCTTTGATTCATGGCGGTGCTATGATGACCAAGCATCACTTAAACACATCATGTCCAGACAGTGGTAACCTCAGAGGAGCTGAAAGAGTGCATTTCATCATTCATGTCAGAGCTTTATGGTGAAATGTCCTTAGTTCTCCACCTCCTCCTCGGCTTCATTCTCAGCTTCAGGCTCCTCCTCCATGCGCTCAACCTCCTCTTCCTCCTCTTCCTCCTCCTCCTCCTCATCCTCCCTGCTCTTATCATTTTCAGAGTCGGCCTTCCTCTCTTTATCCTTGCGCTTCTGCTCCAACACCTCCTTCTTTCCTTTCTGGCCCTTCTTATACACTGTGGAACACAAACGCCCATCATTAACTGTATACAACATTAGAATTTATGACTTCTAAGAGTTCATTATATTTTACATCATTATCTCTTATTAACCGTTTGCTCCCCCAAACAATGATTCCCCTGTCAAAGTTTAGCAATCAACTTGGCACTGTAGGTCTGCATAGCCTTGGATTTCTTTACATGCTGCAGATATGTACATGGGGCTCTAATAATTCAAAAATGACCATTTGAAGAGTTTGGATTTGGAGAGTGGTGCCTTTTTTTAAGCCTTTCTAAACATCAAAAATGCAGATTATGTCTTAAAATGTGTTTCTGATGTAGCATTACTTCCAAAGTAAACAATATATAGTCTAACAGTTTTTCCTTAAAAAAAAAAAAAGGTTCAGTGAAACTCTGTACTAGGACTCAGCATTTACCCCTCATTCTGTATTCGAGGCTCTATGAATATTCAAATATGCCCAGAGCAAACATTTTCTCAGTTGGTCCAACACGTAATCTATCAGGGAGAATGGATTATTAGTAGCAGGCTGTTTGCATGCAGTTCAACTACTAATACTGGAGCGTTAGCAGGCCAAACATAGCATTTTAATTTGCCGTTGATACTCCCACTTGTCTCCCACTGTCCCATAACATTTGATATATCAGAATCTTTTTAATTTTTCAGATGATCTGAAATATAATCTAGTCAAGTTATCAGAGAACCAAGATGTTGTCTTGCTGTATTAGCCGCAGCCAAACCTAACTGTTAACATCACATTCTGACAGTGGCATCTCTCTACATTTCTCATGCCATCTCATAATGTTAAACATTGTCAGTACCTCTTTATTATCTCAGCTGATCCAAAAGGTAGCATTCTACAGAAATCAGACCGAAGGAGTAATGTGAATGTTTGTTCTGGATTAAGTTTTCTTCAAACCTGTGAGTATTCACTGATGTACTGACCTTCCAAAGCTTCTCTGAGAGGCTCTAGAAATCGTTCAAACTCCATCTCTTCCATCGCAGCCAGAACATCTCCAGCGTTCAGAGTTTTTCTCTTGGCTTTCATGGCAAAATTATTTGCACTGTAACAAGGTCAACAGAAGTAATAATTCAAGCACTGAAGTTATAAGACTTTGACTCAGCTGCTTCTTGTTTTCTAAGTTGTGATAAGTTATGACAGCAATTCAATCTAACTGAATTTTGTGAATCAGTACTTGGCTGTGTGTTTTTTTTTCTTACCAGGAGGTTGCATACAAAACAAACACACTGGCAGCTTGGGATATTGCTCTTCTTGCTTCTTTCGACACATTCACCCCATCTGGGAGCTGTTGAAAACAAACGGTGCGGAGGAGTTATCTCAAAGCTACAGTACATACAACACTTATCAGAAATCACAGGCTGGATGAGAAATGTATTTATTTTCTCAGGGACTAGAACATCTTCATAAAAAATGCAGAACATTAGACACTCAATTGGCAGGTTATCAGGTACACCACACTAAAACTAATGCAGTCTAATACAGTTTTTTTTCTGGTTTATATGATTTGAAAACTTTTGACAAAGATATGATTTTCTTTTTTAAATTATGCTGCATGATAGAGATGGGAATTTTGTTTTGGTGATATTTTTCATTATTTTTTGTGACCTTGGCCTTTGACCCTTTTCGGCCACAACATAATCACTTCTAGGCCTGGTCCTCGCCAATGTCTGTACCACGTATGCTGATGATCCATCCAGGCATTTGTCCATAATCCTAGTAACCAACAAACACACACAAAACCAAAAACATAACCTCCTTGGCGGAGGTAACAAAAACTGAACATCATCACCTTCATAAAGGATTATTTATTGCAGGAGTGTTGAATTAACTAACCTGATAAACTGACAAGTGTATAAAGTCACAAAATGACAAATGCCCATTAAAAGGAACTACAGCTGAACGTAATTATTAAAATTTCTTACTGTTGTTCAATAACAATCATAAACCCTGAAAGAGCAAGTCTTCACATAGCCTGTGGTGTAAGAAGTATTCATTTATTAAGGAAAAGTTTTATTATGCCACATCTATGGTGCAACAGCATGTGCATCTACTCGTTTCTAATTCACCTCAATTCTGCAAACAAAACATTTTTCCAGTGAGGCCTTATTTTATTACCAAGTACAGTAATAGTGCAATTCTTTCTAAGTACAATGGTTTTCTACCCTTGGCTAATGCCCAAGGTCTAATGAAGGGCTTAAAAAAATATGTTGTAAAATCTCAGTTAAGTATATATGACTGACTGCTGCACATGCTGCTCCCATGCAGCATACATTGTCATATTCTTGTATATTTTTTTCTACTATATTGCTGCATCTGTTGCTGCTTAAAGTGCCTTAGATTTTGTGTTATTTATTTATCTACTTTATATTTCATTTGTATTTTGTGGCATTCGTGTGGATGGCAAAGTAAGAATTTCATTGTACAGGGAAACACGTTTCCTAACTGTGCATTTGACAAATAAACACTTTGAACTTTGAACTTGATATGTCGAGAAAATAAGATAAAATACAGGTGCATGGGTTCACACTTGTTGATTTCGTTATTTGTGCACATGTGACAGAAGGAAAATGGCCCGCTGAGACTGCAAATGTACAGGACCCAGATTTCTGTACCACACCATTGCCAGTCAGGCTTGTAGTTTATAGTTTATTACTCCTGACAGCAGCTAACAGTTATTTTCATTACTGATTCATTTGGCAATTATTTTTACAAGGTAGGGTTTAGTCATCAAAGCATAGTCAAAATGTTGCTGATCTAAAAGTGAAAATGTCAAATGTCTTATTTAAAAATCTGCAGATAGCCTGTGTATGCAGCACTTTATGTTGTATTCAGGTGACGCTGCTTTTAACTGCTTTATATATTGTTGGGCACACTGTAGATGAATCTATAACTATGGGTACTTGTATTAACTTGTCATATCTGTATGCAAAATCTTAATCTGTAAAGTCATTTTAGAATAAATGTAACGTTGGTTTAGTAAATTTTACAAGAACAGCTACTGTATAAGTAGCATTTAATGCACAATAACCTCAAAGGGAGCAGTATTTGGTACTTTCCACCACTGCTGGAAGTAAAGTAAATGCTTTTCCTATAACGTTACTTTACTTGAAGTTAAGAACTAAATTATTTTTCATTTCATGTTTGCTAGTAACTAAAAAAAAAAGCCGAGAATTTCTGTATTTATTCAACCCTGAGCTATTTCTGAGATGTTAAGGGGAAATCTGAGCACACCAGATAAATAAAACCAGATTTTTAGCATGTATAACTTTTGTTTGCACTCACCGCCTCCTTGATGATGCGAGTGATCACTGCATTGGGAAGGTTGAGGTCTTCTGGCCTCTCTGCCATTTCACTCACTGTTTACCGAGTATTCAAATCCTGTTCACCGTGAAGTCACCTTTAACTCTACCGGCCGTGGCTAACAACAAATGGCCGTAACCGAAGCTGGTTAGTTCTAAGCTAACTGAGTAGCGCCCGCTGATGATGTTGTGTTAGCCTGGAGTTACCTACAGTAGCTAATTAGGTCGCTCGGTTTGCTGCAAGTTATATTCGTCGATCGGTTAAATCACAAACTGTTTCAAGTCACTGGCGTGTCCATCAGAACCGATTTGTTTTAAGACGTTTCCCGCGAATCTTCCCACCACGAGCCCTCCTTCGTCGTATTTCACCTTCGACCTCTGACGTCCCAGTGACGTAGCTACGTCGAATAATTCTGTCGTAATTAACGTAACATTTTCAAGCTTGCTTCAAACCCCTGGGTTCCTACTGAAGTCTTATAGTAATTGTCTACATTTGTTATAAATAGTCAAATATCTCTATCCAAAGACTGATATAGCTCCTTCCTCTGTGCCATAAAGCTCCACTTTTGTTAAAAAATATTAAAAACAGCAGCCTACACTGTTGTGCTGGATGGCATATTATTTCATTGCCTAGAAAACACACACACATGCTTGTTTATTTTAAACCAGTTCCATATACACCATGCTCATGCTCACCCTCATTCACCACTGAAAAATAGTCCCCAACAAATGCATTATTTCCTCTTGCTTGATAAAAACTATAGTGGCCAGCTGTTTGAAAAAATTGCCATTGATTTAAATAAATGAAATGTATGTCTTCAGTAAGAACCAGTGGGTTTTATGATAGTAAAATATAGAAAATGTGTTTATATTATCCTTTAAAATGAAGCCACTGTGATGACAAGACAGCTCATCTCAGTGTGTTTGTAGGTTATTTGGTATTCTAAAGTGGCTAGAGATGAATTATCCCATTAAACACACTGAGAAATTAAAATCAAGGGCCAACACTGAAGTGATAATGCTACTACTTGTGTGCACTGTACAGATGAATATTAAAAACCTTGCCTGGGCAGACTTCCAGCACAGTTTACACCTTCACTACAAAGTGGAGAAGGTCAGGATTTGCTGAGGGAAAGATATTAAGGTGGTTTCCATGGTAGCTGTCATCCTCACACGTGCAGTGGTGTGATACAGCTCACACATTGTAAACCACTCTGTATGCTATGCAAGGAAGGCAAAGTTCTACACCCACCAAGTTTAAGCTTCTGTAGCTTTGGGCAGCACTCCAGGATACTGACGTTTCCTCAGCTTGCAGACCGCACCATGCTAT